TATCTTTTATATATATATATATATATGTATGTATGTATGTATATGTTCTTTAGTGGAAGTCTGCTTATATATTTTGCCCATTTTCAAACTGATTTTTGTTTAGCCATTGAGCATTCCTTATGTCTCTTAGATAGGAGTCCTTCATCAGATATGTGGTTTGCAAATACTTTCCTCAGGCTAGAACTTGTTTTTTCACCATCTTAACAGGCTCTTTTGTAGAGAGAAAGGTAATTTTGACGAGGTAAAATTTATCAGTTTTCCTTTTACAGATTGTGTTTTCGGTGTCAGGTCTAAGAATTATTTTCTTAGCTTGAGGTCTTGAAGATTATCTCCTACTTTTTCTAAATGCGCTATAGTTTTGTTTTACATTAAACTCCTTGTTTCATTTTGAGTTAATGTTTGCATGAAATATAAAATTAAGGTTGAGATTTTTTCCCCCTGAGGATATCCAATTACTACAGCACCAGGTTGAAAAAGCAATTTTCCCTCCACTGAACTGCTTTTGCACTTTTATAAAAAGTCAGTTGTGGGTGTATTTCTGGGTGTTCTGTTTTGTTCCATTGACCTATGTGTCTATCCTGCTGCAAAATACCACACATTTTTGATTACAGTAACTATGTAATAAGTCCTCAAGTCAGGTAGTATAGTTCCTCCAACTTTATTCTTTTGTTTTCAGAATTGTTTAACTGCTCTAGTTCCTTTGCCTTTACATTTTAGAATCAACTTCTTTAAATCTGAAAAAAGAAATTCTTCTGGGATATTGACTGGAGTTTTGTTATTAGCTACATCGGTCGATCATTTTGAGGGAATTGACATCTTTCCTATGTCAAGTCCTCCAATTCATGGAAACACTATATCTCCACTTGTTTGACTTCTTTCATCAGTTTTTTATAGTTTTTAGCATACAGATGTTATGCATGATTTTTTAATATTTATACCTAGATATTTCATTGTATTAGAATTATATTATATCCAGGTTGACCTCAAACTCGAGTTGATCCTCCTGCCTCAGTCTCCTGAGTGCTGAGACTACAGGCATGTGTCACCATGCCTGGCTGTTAATCATATTTTAAAAAATAATTTACTTTCTAAAGTGTTGTAATATAAAAACTTGATAGCCAAATTGTTAGTATAGTACATAGAAATATGGTGTGTTGACTTTATACTCTGTGACCTTGCTAAACTTCTTATTTATTCAAGAATTTTTTTGTGGATTTCTTGGGTCTTTTTCCACAGATAACTGTGTTGCCTGTGAATAAAGATAGTTTTATCTTATTCTTTTCAGTATGTATACCTATTTATTTTTCTTGCTTTATTGCACTGTCTAGGACTTTCAATATAAAAATGAACAGGAGTGGTAACAATGTATTTCTTGGCCTTACTTCCGATCTTAAAAGCAAAGCATTTAATCTTTCATATATAACAATGAATTTGCTAAAGGTTTTTATAGATGCCTTTTATTAGCTTGAGAAAGTTTTCTTTGAAAAAAAAAAGTTTTCTTTGTGCACTTAGTTGACTGAGAGATTTTTTTGTTCCTTCCTGGATAGATGTTAGCTTTGGCTAAATGATTTTCTGCATTGGTTGAAATGATTATGTGAGTTTTCTTCAGTCGTTCATTGATATTATGGATTTCATTGATTTTTGTGAGTCTTGTATTCTTGGGATAAATCTCACTCGCTTATAGAGTATTATTCTCTTTATATGTTGCCAGAGTGGCTTGGCAATATCCATTTGTAACTATGGTGAAAGGAGATATTTGCTTTTCAACTTCTTTTCTTCTAATATCTTATCTGGTGTTTGTATCACAGTAATATTGCCCTCATAAAATAATCAGAAATTATTCTCTTGGATATTCTGGAAAAGATTGTGTAGAATTCATGTTACTTGTTCTTTAAATGATAGAATTTGCCATTGAAACTACATGGACTTGCAACTTTTCTTTCTAAAAGACATTTAACTATGATTTAGGTTTTAAAAATAAGCATTGGACTAGTAATAATTTTTAAAACCTAAAATTTAGTGAAAACTTGTTATAGTGCCCAGCACAGAACCCAGCACCAGGATTTATAGCACTTAATCTTGACAACATTTTGGGGTAAACAATATTAACCCACCACTGAGGAGTAAGTAAGGTGCTTTCATACCTTGTCTAAGATCACAAAGCTAGTAAGGGGCAGAACCTGGATTCAAACACAGATCTGTATGACTCCAGAGAATATATTCACTCATCGTCTTTGTGTTCTCCTCCCTGTGAACCACCAGATATAACAAGGAGAATGGCAAATAGACTCTAAAATTCACCTTCAGTGAGCACAGGAGGCAGCTAAGGCATAAGACTGAAATACGTCCAGGAGAGCTGCTTAGCGCAGTTAGGATGGGCACAGGCCAGGGAAGAGTCCCAGAAACGGCACCTGCTCTTCTGACGCCAGTCACATGTGGCAAAGCAGAGCCTTCTAGATTGTGTGGGACATCATTGTGGGCCAAATCAATAACACTTTGATACAGGAGATAGAGAATGGCAAAGCTGGCTGGGGAAATAAGCAGACCTGTCAATTACAAGACCTCAAGTCAATGCAAGGACCCCATATGTAGAACTTCTCACAAACTCCCATGAGATGTGGATGGCATGAAAAAGAATAGCCTTCCAAAAAATTGCTATTGTGTGGGAATTTTCTGGGTAGCCTGCGGGCATCTATTTTTAATTTTGCTTTTACCCTCTTTTTCTTTTTGTTCAACCCAAATTTACTCTGCAGACATGGTTTCTCCCACACCCCTTCACCCTTCACTTTTCAGATAAACTTCAGGCACCATCTTTGGCTTGTCTCATCCAATTCTATGTTCAAGGTAGGAAGGACCTGGAATACTTTTGAAAGGCGAGCCATTCTGAAGAAGCCACCCTAAACAACTTGAAGTGTCACCGTGTGATATGGGTGCACAGGCTGGTATAGATGTGGTGCCAGACCAGGAATCAGTGGTCAGCGATTTTGGCAGGCAGCAGTTTGTTGCTCTGGTAGGGTGGGAAGAACACTGGGATTGTGGTCATTGTAGGTGGGAAGAAGGAAAAGGTAACCCACTATACTTTTATACCTTAGCCTATACCTTGAGAGACTCCACACTCTGAACCAAGGAAATGATTTGCTTCATAAAGCTCTGCTCCATCCCTTCTACCTGGTACAAAGAGCTGGTCTAGGAAAAGCAGTCACTCCTGAAATATTAGTAATAATAAAAAGAAGCTATATGAAAATATGGTGAAGAATCAAGGGTTGAGGCCAAGAAAAGGCCAGAAACACATATGAACTTGAAATATCTAACCATGGGACAAAATTTAAAATCTTGACCAAAGATTTATACAGGTTGTTTATGTAAAACAACTTGATAAAAGCAACATGTGTGAACCAGGAGGTTAAACAGACATACAATAGCTCATGAGAAAGATAAGATTAAAAAGATTAAAAAGATTTTTAAAATCACTTGGCAGAGCTCAAGAAAGAAATGGAGACCTAAAAAAATAAAGGGGAAATGAAAATCATATTAGAAATAACAAAAAGGAAAGAGATTTTGCAAATAAACAGCCATGAACATGGAAGGAAGGCTTGAGAAAAGTAAACAAAATGAATGAGAATATAACAAATACTATATTATTATTTTATCTTATTTGTTTTTTGAGACAGGGTCTCACTATGTAGTTCAGGCTGGCCTTGAATTTGAGTTGATCCTCCTGCCTCAGCCTCCCCAGTGCTGGACCTACAGGTACACCACCACACCTGGCTAACAAACACTTTTTAAAGTGTGAGAACTTTAAAGAGAAAATAAGATACATAGAGAACAAAGGTGATCTACCATATTCACGATTGGTGTTTCTGAATAACATAATAGATTAAATGAGCTGACAACATCAACAGAAATGTTCAAATATATAATTCAGGAGTGCTTCCAGTAACAAGACTTGAATTTATAGCTTGAAAGAACAATCCACTCCTAGGTAAAATCACCAAAAAGCAAGTAAATTCAGTACATATCCTGATAAAGATACTAGACTTCAGAGATTTAAAAAAAGAATCCTAAGGGAAGCATTGCAAATAAACGAAATCACTTGTGAATGGGAAGAGAATTTGTCCGGCTTCTAACCTTTCCATAATAGCATTCAACATTAGAAGATGGAGGAGCAATGCCGAGTGAGTCTTCAGGGAATAAGAATGTGTGCCAGGCCAGACTGCCATCCAAATCCAGGGGTACAAACAGATGCCTTTATTGTTCCCAAGAGCCCTTCTTGAAGACAGAACTCTCCAATGAATTTCTACCAACAGATGCAATAGTGAAAATGACGAGGAGTGATCTATGGGCCCATTAAAAGCTAAAGCAACTCTAGAAGCAGAACACTGTGTAAATGTTATATATGCCATGATATAAAGAAATAATGTAACCAGCCAAATTCTGAAGATCCCCGAGGGGGAAACATGGCAGTGGTATATATGCCAGTTTTTCATCCTTTGAAAATTATTTAAAACCTATAACTCAGTAATAGAGATCGGAGTGTTTCTATTTGAAACTGTAAATTTGCTTGAAGCACTCGTTCTGTGCGGAGATTAAAGAATATTTATTCTTAGTATTTTATTTAAAAATAATTTTAGATTTACAGAAGAGTATTTCTGTATACCCTTCAGCCAACTTTCTCTTTCATCTTACATAATTTTGGCATATTCATTAAACCAAGGAATTAACACTGATACAATACTTTTAAGTAAACTACACTTTATTTAGATGTGTGCCTTTTCTCTTTTAAGCCCTAGCCCAAGATTCTATGTTGCATTTAATCATCCTGAGTCTCTTCCAATCTGTGATAGTTCTTTGTCTTTTCCTATCATTAAGGAACATTTATTTGTGAAGACTTTTTATTATGGAAAAATTCAAACATATACAAAAGTAGAAATTACAGTATATAAAGAATTCATCAGTTAGCTTCACTAATTATCAATGTCTTGCCTTCCTTGTACTGTTCATCCAATGGGACAATGTTTTTGTTGGAGTATTTAAAGCAAAATCTAGAGCATGTCATTTCACCCAGAACTGTCTCAGTAAAAATCTCTACTTAATAAGGACATTGAAAGTACTATAAATCCCCTGCCAGTGTTACACTTAAGATGAACAATAGCTTCCTAATGTCATCGCATCCTGAGCTATCTTTGGAGCTGATTTGTTCACATCAGGATCCAAGTGAGGTTCATAAGCTGTATTTGGTTATTACAAGTCTTAAATTTCTTTTATTCTATAATAGCCCCATCTCCTTTCTCCTCCCATACCACTGACTTATTGGGACAGCTGGATCATTTGTCCTGCAGAGTGTCTTACATTCTGGATTTGGTTGATTGCTTCTGAAAGATGTCATTTAACTTGTTCTCTATTTCCTGTGTTTCCTAAAAAATAGATAGAAAGGCTACTTAGATCGAGAAACCTTTGTTAATTAAAAATTTTATGGCAAAAATATTTAATAGGTACTTTCTGTCACATCCTATCAAAAAGTAAATAATGTGGGTTGTAGAGATACTGAAATTGGGATCGGATGGTGTCAGCCTGATTCCTATATTATAGAATTTTCTTTCAAGTTTATACCTAATGGTTTATGTAGTCATTAATGATCATCGCCAAGATCCATTACTTTATTAGAGCCTGAGAAATGGTGATATTCTTAGTCTATCAATTATTCTGTGTATCTTTTGAAGATGCACATGAATTATTGACAGATTAAATGATATAAGGCCTGGCAGTTGCTGCAAAACAATAATAGTAAAAGGGGGATAGTGAAAAAGGATATAGATAAAACAAGATTGGCTTTAAATTGTCAAAACTGTAAGATACGTATGCAGCGTTCTTTACATTAGTCTTTTTTTTTAAGGTTTGAAAATTTTCCGTGATAAAGTTTTTGCCAAAATGCTATGGGCAGGTGGTTAGACATACTCCATTTGTCCCTCGAGACCCACTCTCCACCCTTCCCTTTCCGGCCCTGCCCACTCGGGGTCCGTGCCCGGTTGGCTTTGGGAATCAGGATGCAAGGGAAGGAGAGTGAGTTTGGGCCTTTGCATTTTTGTGTTCTATGACTGATGAGTCATAGTGAACTGTCTGCCTTGGGCAACCAAGCACAGATCACAGCTCTTCCACACAACCCTCTTGGCTGCAAGATCCTATCCTTGCCCCCAAGGTGCTGCCCTGTCCCAAATGGTTTCCCTGTACCCTGCCCAGACTTTTATGTGTGGTCCTTTATTAAACAGTTCTCAGATGACCCAATGTGAGTGCACCATCTGCCTCTCACTGGGTCCCTCTCTGATCTGGGAAGGCAGTCAGCAGCCACAAGCTGGAGCAGGGAGGAGGGCATGGAAGGGCTTGAAGTGACAGGGCTGGCCACTAAGGACACAGGTGAACATCGCAGTATTTAACAAGAGTCAGGACACATTCTGCGTGTAAACAGCTAGTACTGATACTAGCACTGATGTATCCTGGTAGAGTCTTGGCTCTGCTGGGGTGGAGGTGGGGGAGTGGCTCAGACCTGCAGGACAGGCCTGGTTGGGTTATTTGAACTCAGGTTTTCCCAGATGGCTGGGGCCTGGTGGTTTGCAGGATCCTCAGATTCTTATCTCCCAGGGGAATCTCAGCTGCCAGCTGTGGCTCTGGGGGTGCAACCGGAGAGTCTCAGTGGCCTCTGGGAAAGCAGCCCTGAACTCCTCCCCAGGGAGCTGGGGTGGTAAAGGTAAGTGGTGGTTCCATTTAGGGCACAGTGCTTGGTCTGGAGAGTCCAAGTGAGGTGGGCAGATGGAGGGCCTTCTTCCCAGGCAAACTTGGTTGCACACAGCAAAGGAAAGTGACCAGGTATTCCTACAAAGATCATTTGGCTTCTTAATTCCATTGGTCCAGAGCTTTTTAAAATGTTTTCATTGTAAAATCCATTCACTTGACATTTTTCACAGCTAATAATTTCAAGGGATTCAGAAATCGAAGGTATAACTAGATCCGCAGTGAAATGTCTCTCTCTAAAGCCCTCTCATCCTCTGCAGTTCCTGCTCCCCAAACAAGCAGCCACAGTAACCTCTCAGAGTTTTTAAAGGTAAATTTGCGCCAATATGAATATTCATCTGCGTTCCCTTCCTTTTCACACTATATATGCTCTTTCCCACATCGTATTTTTTGCCCTTAAAATTTTATGAGAAATCTTTCCAAATTGATACATACAGTGCTTCTTTGTTCTTCTGTTGCTGTCATTACACAACAGCATGCCCAGAAAAATAACCTTTTGACTTGGTAAAACTTGTCTTTTCAGTTTTTGTGACACTATTTGAAGCACTGGAGATATTTTTTCCAGAAAAAGAATTTTGAGTCATCGGTAGACCATTATCCTATAACTGCTTGGGAGACCTGGGGTGTTTTCTAGGAAAATAAAGATTACTTAGAAAATTTACCTAGACAGCTAGGACTAAGATATTTTCAGCTGTAAATTCCCTTTGGCACAGATTAAAACTATGTTCATCTTTTTATACAGAAGTCACTATAGTTCAACTACATAAGCATACGACAGTGCACCCAATAAATTTTGAAGTCCTTTAACCTGGGTCTAAAAATCAAGGCTGGATCTTGTCCTTACCAACAACTGTGAACTTTACAGAGGGTAACAGGGAAGAATCTAACCCAAATCAACTATCTGTAAATGCTAATACTGCTCTATATCCAGTGACAGGGTTGACATCAAAGACCTGTCATCACACCTGAAATCATTCCAAAAGACGCTTTTCCTCACAGTCTTGTAGGCTTTGCATTCTTTTAAGTCTCTGCTTCATATCCTTTTAAATTAAATATTTTACTTTGAGATAATACTAGATTCACATCAAGTTGTCAGAAAAGATGTGGAGAGATTCCCACTTCTCTTTCCAGTGATAACATCTTGTAACACTTTAATTCAACATCGCTAGCAGGCAGGATTCTGACACCAACCGGAGTCAAGGTGCAGAACATCCCCACATCCCAGAATCTCATGTATTGCCCTCTGGTGACAACTCTCACTTCCCTCCCATCCTACCTCCTCCTGACCCTTGGCAAGCATTCATTGGTTCTGTGACTTTGTCTAGATAGTTATAGAAATGGAATCATATAGTATATAGCCTTTAGAGATTTAGCATTACTCACTCAAGAGAATTCTCTGGAGCTTCATGCAGGTTGTTCCTCATCCTTAGCCAACTTTGGTGGTACACGCTTGTAATCCCAGAAACTCTGGAAGGCTGAGGCAGGAGGACAGGAGGAACACAAGTTCAAATCTAGTTTGGGCAACTTAGTACCTAGTGAGATACTATCTCAAAATAAAAAAATAAAAATAAAAAAGAAACAGGGATGTGAAGTACAAAGGCCTTCGGTTCAGTCTCCAGTTATCACCCCCCAAAAGAAACCTCACTCTTTTTTGTTGCTGAGTAGTATTCTATTCTATGAATGTACTGTAGTTTATTTTCTTCTGTTAAAGACATCTGGGTTGTTTCCAATTGGAGGCTGTTATGAATAAAGCTGCTATAAACTTTTGTGTATGGGTTTTTATGTGAATATAAGTTTTTATCTCTCTTGTATAAATGCCCAGGAGTTCAAGCACTGGGTCATATGGCAAGCATATATTTAGTTTTTAAAGATAGTGCCAAACTGTTTTCCAGGGTGGCTGTATCTGTTTACATTCTCACCAGCAAGGCATAAGTGATCTAGTTTCTGTGCATCTCATCAGTGTTTGGTAGTGTCACTATTTTTCATTTTAGCGAGTCTGATGGGTAATTATTATATTCTGTGTGCTTATTTCCCAACTCTACATTCTTTCAGTGAAAATTTTTTTCATATTTTTGTCTTTTCGAAGTGGATTGTGTGTGTGTGAGTGATTTTTTTAAGTTTATGTTTTAATATTGAAGATTTTTGTTTTGTTTTTGTGGCGCTAAAGCTCATCTCTCACTCTCAAGAGTTCTTCCATTGAGCTACATCTCTACTTTCACCTCCTTTATAACATTTGATTTTGAAACAGGGTCTCGGGGGCTAGGGATTTAGCTCAGCGGCATAAGCGCCTGCCTTGCAAGCAGGCAGTCGTGAGTTCGATCCCTGGTACCGATAAAAAGGAAAAAAAACAAACAAACAAAAAAAACAGGGTCTCATTATGTTGTCATGCTGGCCTTGAACTTGCGATCTTTCTGTCTCAGCCTCCTGAATAGCAGGGTTTACAGACATAACCCATTGTGTCAGGCTAGTATTGAATTTGAAGAGTTCTTTATATATTCTAGACACCAGTCCTTGGTCAAATGTGTGGATTACACGTATTTTCTCCTGGTTTGCAGCTTGCCTTTTCATCTTCTTAGCAGGATCTTTCCCAGAGTAAATGTTTCTAATTTTGATGAGATTCAATTTATCAGTTTTCCTCTAATGGCTTGTGCTGTGGGTGTTAAATTTAGGATTTGCCTATTCCAGACTCTGATGATGTTCAATATATTTTTCCTAAAAGTTTTATAGTTTCGTGTATTAAATTTAAATTGCTGATCTGAGATCACTCTGTATGAGCGAGACTTCTTTCGTCAAGGTTCATTTGCTGCCTGTGGATGTCCAATAGCTCCAGCGCCATTTGTTGAGAAGACCCGCTTTGCTCCATTTCATTGCTTTTGCACCTTTGTCAAAGGTGTGTCCCCATATTCATACAGGTCTGTATCTAGGTTCTGGCTTCTATTACACTGATGTACGTGTCCTTCCCTCCACCAATACTACTCAGTCCTGCTTATTACAGCTATATGGTAAGTATTGAAACTGGATTTGTGAACATTGAAAAACAATTCCTCTTTATATTTTGTTTCAGTTACTGTAGTTCCTTGCCTTTCCATATACATTTAGAATGATCTTGTGTATATCTGCAAAAATTCTTGCCAGAATTTTTATAGTAATTGCATTAAACCCATATACTAAATTGAGAATTGATATATTATACTACATTAGATCTTCCAATCCATGAACACAGTGTGCTTTCCTAGATATTTAAAACTCATCACTGTTTTTGTAGTTTCTATTATATTTATATATATATGTTTTTAACCATTTTATTGTGTTTAAAAAGATATAAAATGTATTATCATAGTCATTTTTGAGTGTACTATTTAGTGGCATTAAACAGATTCCTGTTATATAACCATCACTACCATCAGGCTCCATAATTCTTTTCATCTTATAAAACTGAAACTCTGTACCCAGTAAAAAACTCCCCACTGCCCCCTCTCCCCAGCCTCTGGCCACGGCCATTCTCTCCCTCTGAACCTGACTACTGTAAGTACAGTACCTCATGAAAGTGGAATCAAGCATTTGTCTTTTTATGACTGGCTGATTTTACTTAGTATAGTTTCCTCAAGGTTTATCCACGCTGTAACATATGTCAGAATTCCTTCCTTTTCAGGCTGAATAACATGCCACAGTGTGTACATACTGTATTTTGCCTATCCACTCATCTGTTGATGGACATTAGAGTGCTTCCAGGTTTGGACATTTATGAGTACTATTTCTATGCATACTATGAACATGGGTGTACAAATACTCCTTAAGATCCTATTTTCAATTCTTTTGAGTATATACTCAGGAGTGGATCTGCTGAATTATATGCAATTTTATTTTTAATTTTTTTTGAGAAACTGCCATACTCTTTTATTTTCCTTTTTCTTTTGAGTTTTTGTTACAGGTTCTCTCTAAGTAGTTCAGGTCTGTTCTTGAACTCACTATGTAGCCTAGGCTGGCATTGAACTCATGCTAATCCTCCCAAGTGCCAAGATTACTGGCATGCACCACCATGGCCAGCATCATACTCTTTTCTACAATGGCTATACCATTTTATAGTCCACCAATAGTGTGCAGGTTTTTAATTTCTCCATTGCTACTTCGCAACACTTATTATTTCTTAAATAGTTGCAATGCTACTATGTGCAAAGTGGTATCTCATTGTAGTTTTGATTTACATTTTGTAAATGGCTAGTGATAAAAAACATCTTTTCATAGTTTATTGACCATTTGCGTATCTTGTTTGGAGAAATGTTATATCTTATTTTGAATGATTATAGATGATATTTTATATTTAATTTTTGTGCTGTAAGTTCATTGCTAGTATTTAGAAATATAATTAACTTTTTATGTTATTTTTGAATTGAATATTGTAGTTTTATTGGACTCATTTATCAGTTCTAGGAGGACTTTTTGTTTGTTTGTTTTAATTCCTTAGGATTTTCTACATAGACCATCATACCATCAGCAAACAAGAATAGTTTTATTTTTCCCTTTCCAATCTGTATGCCTTATATTTATTTTTCTTGTCTCATCACTCTACCCAGGACTTCTAGTATGATGTTAAGTAATAGTAGTGAGACCAACACTTCACAATGAATTAGTTTACCACAAGCTTATATTTATATTTAATAATAATAAATTTATTGATAAGATCACAAAACACCATAGAGTTTGAAATACCATTGTTCATGATTTATTTGTTCCTCAAAGATTCTTGAAAGATGAATGGCATTATTATCCCATTTCAAGTGAGAAAACTGAGGCTCAGAAAACTTAAATGATTTGTCTCAGGTCACCCAGGAAGTAAGCAGGAAGATTTAGCATCCATAGAGGAGACCATCCCATTTATGAAGTTTTAGAGAAAGCTTCATATCAGTCACATGACCATCACAGAGGGAGCAGGGCACTGTGCCCTGGAAGGCCAAGTAGGGAACCCTCAAGTGACCCAGAGAAAGAATGGGAAAGCATACTAGACAGACGAAATTCCAGGGACCACAATCCCTAGCGAGAGTAAAACAAATTCTTTGTATTTTGTGATTTTTATGGAAATGTTCTAATAATCCAAATTTCCCTCTGTCACTTTTCTGAATCCACATTTATATGATTCATTTTAACAGTTCAGAATCACATTTGATAAAACCTGAAATAGACTGGAATGGAAGAGACCATTTATCTTCTTATATAGATAAGAAAAAAGGGGCTGTGGATTTAGCTCAGCAGCATAAGCACCTGCCTTGCAAGCAGGCGGTTGTGAGTTTGATCCCTGGTACCAATTAAAAAAAAAAAAAAAAGTAAAAAAGAAAAAGGCTGGTAAGAAGCTACCTGGGGTTGACAGAAACCACACTGGGCCTGAAAGGAGTAACAAGAAGCCAATTTGCCTTTCCCATGAGCCAACTGATGTGTGGGCTGGGAAACCAGAACACTGCCTACCCCACCCCCACCCCAAGCAACTGGCTGATTCAGAGCACAGGCTGAGGTGATAGCAACTGAGGCACCAAACAACTTAAATGTTTGTATTGTTTGATTGACTTTACAGGCCCAAGGTCCATAGTCTGAGCATCTATTAAAAGGATAACACTCCTGGAAACAAAACCATCAGCCAAGGTTCCAAAGCCACCAAACCAGACATCACTGGCCACCTGATCCCTGATCCCTGGTCGCCCACCTTGGAGGGCAGTCTGCACCCCAGTATCAACTGTGCCCCCTCAACTTCCTAAGCTGGATGTTTCCTGCCTTCCCTCTAACTTCCTGATTAAAGCATTTTTCTGTAAAAAAAAAAAGGATAACAATATGCAAAATAGAAAATATGGGGGATTTCCTTCTGTCTTATTTTTGAAATCCAATATTATTCTGTTTTTGTTCTGTTTTATTATTTTGTTTTATTCAATGTTCAAAATTGATTTTATTCTATTCTGTTTTGTTTGATTTTATTATACCTGATGGTATGGACAACAATTTTGAAGACAACAAGAGTCATTATGGTAACCACTGTTGATTTCCTATTATCCTGTTTTGAAATGCTGTATCACTTTCACTGTTTTGTTTTGATTGGCTTTATTCTGTTCTTTTCATTTTGTTTTGCTTCATTCTCTTTAAAATATGCTTTCGTTCTTTTTTGACTGGTTTTATTCTGTTTTGTTTTGTTTGATTTTATTATGTCTGATGGCCTGGACAGCTATTTTGAAGAAAACAAAGAGACATTGATTTCCTATAATCTGTTTTGAAGTCCTGTATTACTTTCATTGTTCTGTTCTGATTAACTTTATTCTATTTTGTTTGGTTTGGTTTTATTCTCTTTAAAATTAAAAAAGAAGCTATCTTGACCAATTTCATACACAGTTGTTTTATGTTTTCCCTGTTTGCATTTATTGAAAGAATAATTTCAATATTATGTGAAAAAATTACTCTCAAACTTCAATATCCCAACACAATATTATCATGTATCATCTAGCCTTTGTCAGCTTTTTCATAGTTGGGCACAGTGGTGATAGTGCACATTGGTTTTCAAATATGATAAAAGGCAGCCGGCATGGTGGTGCACGCCTATAATCCTAGTACTCTGGGAGGCTGAGGCAAGAAGATCAAAGGCTGAAGTTTAGCTTGAGCAGCTTAGCGAAACCCTGTCTCAAAATAAAAAATAAAAAGAACCAGGGGTGTAGCTCAGTGTGAAGACCCTAGTTTCACTCACTAATAGTAACAGGTAAAAAGGGCTGAAGATGTGGTTCAGTGGCAGAGTGCGTGCCTAGTATGTAAGAGGCCCAGGGTTCAATCCCTAGTACTGGAAATAATAGCAATAAAAAAGATAAAAGGGCTTATATGCCTAATCGAACTACTAGCATATTTCTGTGATTTAGAATTTGTAAGTAACTGGCCTATACCCACTGCCTGATGAGAGGTGGATACCCTTTTGCCCAAGGGCAGAGGCTGTTTTTCCCTTTCTTTTTAGCTGAATCAGCACTTCCTCCTGTCCCAGAACCTCAGTCTTAAGGAAGATTGTGGGCTGGGTGGAGATCTCAAAGGATTTGTTCTTTTCTCTTTTAGATCCATATTCTTCCTTCAACACTGTTTCAATTCCACATCTCCTCAGTTGCTGCCTCTTTCTGAAGCCCTTTCTTGGCATCTAACTCCTGTTCAAGGACTCACTGGTGCTTTTAATCTCAACAGAAAATCATTCATAGTACAGCCTCTCAGGGACCTAACCATCAAAAGGAGACCCCTTTAAGACAGAAATGTTCCTGAACAGAGGGAAGAGAGGAAACCTGTCCTTTGAGGGCCCCCTTCATAAAGATCAGCCATAGTGCTGCAAAGCCAATGAGCCACAGCCCCCATCCCCACAGAACTCAAGTTGCATAGTTGGGCATAGTTGTGATAGAAAAAAGAAGCTGGTAAGAAGCTATCTTGGGTTGACAGAAACCACACTGGGCCTGAAAGGAGTACACAGTTCCTGGCTTCTTCCCAGGTACCTGAAGTAACTTCTGGCTGTCTGCAGGCTGCCCACCTCTGCCTAGAACAATGCCAGGGACTTAGACTCTCCATCAATAGGCCCTGTCAAACAGCCATCTGTATCATTCCAGGTCCTGGCAGGAAGCAGATGGCACCTCAGATTGGGTAAATTGAGAAGAGTTTAATAAAGAGACTATTTACAAAGGCATATCAGGGTATAGGGAAACCACAGGCCAGAAGGAACAGAAGGAGGAAGCAATTACTGGAAATTTGAGAGAGAAAATTCTGTGAGCAGGGCCTCTTGACAGGAGCTGTGACTTTTGGTCTAGAGATACAGCTAGTTAGCCCTTAAGGAGGAGAAAAGAAATACCCTGACCTCCCTCCTCACAGCCATCTCCTACTAGAAACCAATGCCAAGAAGACACAGGAGATTTTGGCAGAGTTCACTGAGGCCCACTGCTGGGGACACAGCTCGGCTGGGGAAGTGGAGAGGGAATCTGGAGGGGCAAGAAGGAGCCACGTGGCACACTGTCTGATTTTGGAAATGTTCTGTTGTGGTCCTTGCCTGAGGTTGTTGCTATCAGCGCTCCTGTGGGTGAGGGGTGAAAGGTGGCAGTGTTATCGCCTGGTTGGCGATGCCACAATATTGTCAAGTATTTCTTTATAAATGCCTCACCAACTAAAAGTATTCTAGGTCCTTCTTGCCTCAAGCAAAGAATTGGACGAGACAAGCCAAAACCTGTGCCAATAGTTTATTTGAAAAGTACAGAGTGAATGGGTATGGGAGAAACTAGCTCTGCAGAGTAAACATGGGCCAAAGAGAAAAAGAGGGTAAAAGCAAAAATAAAAGTGCATTCTGCATCTAGGAGATGCAGAGTGGACTACAGTGAAGAGAGCAGGCTTCTCAAAGCAGCTGGTCTCTTTTTTATGCCATCCATACCTGGTGGGAGCCTGTAAGTTCCGCATAGGGGGCCCTGGGAATTACTTGACACTATCCTGGGGTCTTGTAACTGACAGATGCAGCTTATTTCACCAGCCAGCATTGCCATGCCCTACCTCCTGTATCTGCAGGCTTGGCGTCTTCCCCTCCCTGGGCATTTCTAGCAGGATGTGGGATAGCCCTCCTTTTCCTCTTCGGTCTGTGTTTGGGGGCTTGAGTTTTCTCTCTGTTCACCCCACAGTATCTGTAAAGGGCAGTGCTGTCCATGAAGGAAGATGGTTGCCCTAGGCCCCAGCCTTCAGGCAGAAGCTTAGATTCCTATACCCATCCTGCCAGCCCTGTTTTTTCCCCCTGCCATGTCCTGAACAGCCACTGCAAGTGGGCTACCAAACATCCCTGCCGTGGCTGGTCCCTGACCTTGCATCCCTGCCATGCACCCTGACCTTGTTCCTGCATATCCCCATGGCTTCCCAGATTCAGAATGAAAGGACTTCACCTCAACTGTAGGCCAGCATGGGGTCCCACTAGTGCCCAGTCCATCCTGAAACTCCAGCTGGCCTCAGCTCCCTCGCCTGCTGGCAGCTCTGTCCCTCTTTATTCTTGGCCTGCCCTGTGGTATCTGCTGCAGTAGAATGCTTCTCCCTCTTAAATAAAATTTAACCCCTTCATAATTTAATAAGCCAGGATGATAATTTATGATCAGAACGCTAAGAACACTGGCTTCTTGGAGTTGCTTTACTGAAACTTTCTCTTCATATAAGACACAACGGAGCTTCAAAAGAGACCGAGGGAAGCTGGGGGAAATGAGAGACTGTCTTTTTACTTGACATTCATTTTTACTGAGACGCTTCGTTTTTAAACCAAGTCGGTATATGTAAAATTACATACTACTATTTAAAAAAAGAATTGTAGCTAATTGTAACCAGTGACTTTGAGTGGCATGGATGATAGCAGCACAGTGCAAATTGCAAATACATAGCCCCAAAAATGACAATGACAAATAGGGCAAAGCCACTGGGGATTGATTCGACACTTCTGCTCAAGGCAGCCCTCACTTGAAGTGGGACCACATATGCTTCCCTGGTATTGTTAGGAGTTGGATGGAACGCATGGTAACTTCTGTGGTAAGTTTCATCTATTCCCCCAGTGACCTGCATCCTACAGAGACAGGTGCCCTGGGATTCTGTTTGGTTGGATTCCCTACCTGGTCTCTATGTTGTCACCACACCTAATGGGAGATCCCTTTGTTACACTGGCGCTTCCCTGGGTTCTGTTTAATAATCACTGTAATGGATTGACATTCAGAGAGCTGTGATTTATTCTTTGGGTTCATTTGAATATTTATTAAGAATGAGGCCATTTCTGTCTCAAACTCTGAGGTTTTTATCTGCCACTCTTCTCCCTTCCTTTACTATCCACCTACCTGGCAGGGATGGGGAGAAGGGAGAATCCTGAGTGAGCACAGGCCTATGCTGATAGCTTCAGGAGAAACACTTCTGTCTCTCCTCTCATCATTTGCTAAAGCTCTGACTACTGGCCCCCAAGGTGAATGTAAATAAGAGACTCTTGATAAGAGCTGAGAGAAGCTTGACCCCCAACTGGCTTTGTGAGCTGAGGGAGATACTAAGATACATAAGGGATCTGTAACTAGGGATCCCTACAGATTTGTGTGAAGACCAACTCTGTGATAATTGCCAGTAAAACTTTTCAAAACAAGACCAGTAACAGTCCACTAGTATCTTGCCCTAATGAATATTAAAATTAATGATAAAGCTAGTGTAATCCAAAGGATAAGGTATTGGCACATGAACAGACAGATTAGTGGAATAGAATAGAAAGATATTGATTTTATGGGAATTTAACACAATGTGTAATAAAGGTGGCATTTCAGTTCACCAATGGCTTATTTGATAAGTCATCCTAGAACAATGACCTATTACATGGAAAGTACAAAGATAGAATATTTGGTTAATTACAGATGGATTAAAGATGCAAAGGTGAAGCAAACATTCTAGAAGTAAATTTAGGAAAATATTTATATAATATTCAGGGAGAGAAGTCTTCTCAAATCACACAAGAAGCCAGAAGCTACAAAGGAACCAAAATAGATTACATATATATATATATATATATATATATATATATATATATAACATTTTCTGTGGTAGAAGACACGACTTTAAAAAAAGGTCAGAGGAGAGCTAATAAGTTGTGAGAAAATAGTTGCAACCAAGTCAGATAAAGGATTAGTGTCCATAATATTAGAATATGAATATCCATAATATTAGATGCTGATAATCAACTGCTTTGAACTTCCAAAATGGCAGTTTGACATTTAAACCCAACACATAGTGCTTCGATATGTTGATTTTTTAAAAAGACAATCTAATAGAAAAAAGTGAAGTCTATAAGTTATAAACAGACAATTTATAAAAAACATGTCAGTAGCTGATCTACAAATATATGATTACAAATATCTGAATATATGTTAAAATGCTAACAGGAGGCTTCTAGCAATAAAACAGAAAATAACAAATGCTAGAAAGATGTGCAGAAACTGGGACCACTATACAATGTTAGTGCAAATGTAAAATGGTGCCCCTGCCACAGAAAATAATCTTCAAAAAATTAAGAGGGCCAGGCACAGTGGCTCACGCCTGTAATCCCAGCACTCGACGGGCTGAGGCAGGAGGATCGTTGTGAGTTCGAGAGCAGCCTGGGCTACAAAGTGAGCTCAAGGCCAGCCTGAACTGCGTAGTGAGACCCTGTCTCAAAAAGACAAAAAAAAAAAAATTAAAAGTAGAATGATATATGGTCTAGCATCTCACTTCTAGATAAATACACAAAATGATTAAAAGCAGGGTCTCAAGAAATATTCATGCATCCTTGTTCATGGCAGCCTTATTCACAACGGCCGAAAGGTGGGAAACACCCAACTAT